AATCAGACTAGAGATTGTTTTCTGTTTGAACACAAATACCTTAAACTGAAACATTTTTTAAGAAGAAAACTATAAGCTCATACTCTGTATACGCCTACCCAGTCGAAGTCCTTAATCAGGTTATTATTGTTATTAGAGGAAATTTTTAGTAAATAAAAAATACACTAAAATCTAATTCTAGGGCAAGTGAACAAATTTCTGAGCATGGGGTTGGAGAGATGGCTCAGCAGTTAAGAACACTGGTTGTTCTTGAAGAAGACCCGGATTCGAATCCCAGCACCCACATGACAGCTAACAACTGTCCATAACTCCAGTTCCAGGGGATCCGACAGCCTCTTCTGACCTCTGCGGGCATTGCATGATATGGGTGTACTTACCTACATGCAGGCAATGCACACACACACACACACACACACACACACTAAATGTACTGATGATGATAGGATGATAAATAAAATTTTTAAAAAAGTTAAAAAAAAACCCAAAAGACAAATTTCTGAGCATACACAGAAGTGCTAGGATACTGCATTTTCATCCCAAAATAATACTGTAGTAGTACAAGGTGCAAAGTTAACTTTTATATCCAGGGCATGCTAGAATTATGCGTTATATGTAAACAAAATAATAAAATATCCTTACAGTATATCATTGGAACTGCTGCTATATGGATCTTTGCATACCTTATACTTTTTTTTTCCAAAAAAATAGTTTATTATTTTTATTTTATGTGTATGAGTGTATTGCCTGGATGTAAGTGAGTAGTGAGTGCACCTGTGCCGTGCAATGCCACGGAATTCAGAAGACAGTTTCAGATCTCCCTGGAACTGGAGTTAAGGACGGTTTGTAGCCGCCATGTGGGTGCTGGGAACTGAACCTGGGTCCTCTGCAAGAGCAATCAGTGCTCTTAACCGCTGAGCCATCTCTCCAGCCCCTGCATACTTTATATACTCTTTAAGATCCAGGTTCTCAACAGTATTTATAACTGTAAAGCATCTTGGTTAACCTGAGTAAGTTCTACTATTGAGATATAGCAATCAAAGAAAGGGAAATAGATTAAAGTAAAATTCCTTTACAATGAACTCTGCTGGACATTGAGCATATGTAAGGAAGTATGATAAAATAATCAAAACTTGCTGTCTCAAACATAATACAATTTCATACAAGAAGCAAAATGTATTATTGTTATATCTCAATAAGAAAGCAACCTAAAGGTGTCTATATATATGTACATATGTATATATATTGCTATAATGAGAAATTTATTTTGAAAAAGCGAAGGAAAAAATTTAAATAGTTTATAGATAAAAGATAAATAGAGAGATAAAAAACTGACCTGGTAGGATCTAAGTAGATGTAAAAGAGAGACTGAAATTATACTTATGGGTAGCACCTTTCAAATCAGCAAGAATGACTAAAAGGCTATTCTAATTGTTTAGGAATTAAATGAATCTTGTAATCTAAAAGCCTCATGTAATATCCTATGGTAAGCATATTTAATGAACTAGAAACTCATACCTTACTACATCAAATATGAAATATAAAGTATGTTAGTCAACAAAGAAATAAAGCTAACATATAACACTGGTTGGTAGTTGGAAGAATACACTATGTGATGTTAGTTGTGATCTAATTTTTTTAATGCCTCTTCACACCTATAAAATGTGAGGATAAAGGGGCTAGAGAGATGGCTCAGTGGTTAAGAGCATTGACTGCTCTTACAGAGGACCTGGGTTTCACTCTTAGCACCCATATGGCAGCTAACACCTATCTGTCCATAATTCCAGTTTCAGGGGAATTCGGTGCTCTCTTATGACCTCCAAGGGCATTGCACTACATGAATGCACTTACATACATGCAGACAATACACTCATACACATAAAAATAAAAATAATTTTTAAAAATGAGGATAAGAATACCCACATCCCAAAGGATTTTTATAAAATTTAGTATCTTGGCTGGGCATGAGCTTACCATGCTTAGCCAAAACTAAATATCTTAATGTATATAAAGTATGCAGATAATGTCTTACAGATAGTTAATGCTCAATTAAATTAAAGCTATCACAAAAAAATGGTGGTAACAATGAGTGCATTTGCTCTCAAAATTTCTGACTGTTTAATCAGTATGTGTTTGATTTTGGTGTAAGGTGGGTTTTTTTTGTTGTTGTTGGTTGTTCTTTTTAGTAAATGCAGCAAAGAGGTAAGAGAGTAACTTATTAAGTGATATAATGACCTCTTAAGCACAGTTCTATTTTCTCCTGTAGAGCTAGTTTTGATTGGGTCACAGATCTCTTTGCTCATTATTTAACTACACTATTTGGTATACTCACTATAAACATTTTTGTCAGAAAGAGCAAACATTTACACTAATCCCATCAACAAAGTATACGTGCTATCTGCTATGACACAAAGGTAGTTGACTATATAGTGAATTTTTTTCTGAAATGGTATAGGCTGTATAGGCATTTTATATGCATATTTCAGTTACTATCTTTTCAAAATAAAATAATTTTATGAATAAAAGCCACCAATACATTTCACTTTTGGGAATACCAAGAAAAGAAGATACATATTTCCTACCTTTGTAGCAGGCACTTAGTCTCAGTAAAATCAGAATTTCCTGATGGGATTCGGCCATCACCAGTAGAAGCTTTGTGGCAGTATGTTTTATGGATGGACTAGGAGTTGATAAAAGCTTGAAAAGAACTTCATCTAAAATAGAATGCAGGGTCTTTCTTTCTATTTTGAGTAAATCACAACTAATAGAAGAAAATTAAAAAGTACCATTACTAATTCATTCATGGTTATCACAACAAATTAAAAAACAAAAGACTTAGTAACTTAATGCTGGTGTAATGGTCTGATTCATGAAGGAAACAATTTCTAAAGAATAAAACTTGGTTCTAAGAATTGGGACTATATCATATTAAGTCAATTAACATTTCTGAATTCCTACTCTGGGCAAAGTACCATACTAGGTGTAACAGAGAGCATGCAAAGAAAGTGAAGGTCCTCTCCTCTCAGAGAAACTTGTAATCAGAGTACGAAAAAAAAAAAAAGAAGAAGAAAAAAGAAAAAACTTGTAAATATCAAATGAGCACTTCAAAAACCTTACGGTGATAAAACACAAGACTGCAGCTAGACTTACTGTTAAATAATGTACGGACCATGTGCTTAGTTTTAAAGAGCTTTATCTTTCCTTTGGCATTTTCTTCATTGTATTAACAAGTTCATTTTATATTACTGAAAAATTACCTAAAACTTAAAAGAAGTTACAAAAGGGTACCAATAACTTTTGCTAATTTCCCTAATAAATATGTAATTTTCTAGGCCTATATTTTTATATCTAACTTCTTGAATTTGTAATTTGCAAATATTATACACGTATAAAGTGCATTCTGATTTCTGAACCTCCCATATTCTCTAATCTCCTTGCCTCCCACAGCAATTCACCCTCCTTCCTATAGCTTCCTTTCAAACATTCATAACTCCTTTTTAAATCCTGAGACCCACTGGGTTTAACCAGGACCATCTGTGTGACTATGGATGTGGAACGACTCACTAAAGCCTGGTGGGCACCTCACTGAGTATTCAAATGAAAACAGTGGCTGCCCCACCCCCAGAATCAATCAGTAGCCAGTATTTCAGCAGGGAGGGCTAGGTCCAATGAGTCTTCTTCCATCCCATTCATATTGACTATTGATGGGCCCAGTCTTGTGTGGTAGGCAGCCAAACCTGCTGTTCGGTCATGACTGAATTGGCTCAGCCACATGTAGAGTTGTATATTTTTACTACTACTACTAAGATATTTTAGGTTTGATTGCAAAAATTACATATGCCAATGATTCCTATCTGAGGGCAATGCAAATAGACACTTATCAAGAGCAATGCAAATGATTTTTGTCCAGTAGAAAAGGTAATTCTAAAATCTACTATATACTACTTTATAAAACAGTGGTCTTTTAAAAAACTATAAAAAAATTAAAAATATTTTACTGAGTGTTTGTATATTTCATACAATAGCTCTTAATCAAATTAAGATACCCCCCCTCATTCCATGCCTTCCCCCCCACCAGGCCTCATGTATTTTGCCATACATGCTAAGTCCCATCTAGTCAAGCATTTTACCCCAGATGTCCTTCAGTGTAAATCAGTCCAACGGAGTCTAGTCAGCCCATCTGGAGATCATATATGTAAAGTGTTGTGTAATGCTGCAGAGGTCAGAAGAGGGCTTTGGATTCCCCTGGAACTGGAGTTAAGGATGGTTCAGAGTTGCCATGTGGGTGCCGGGAATTGAACCCCGGTCCTCTGTAAGAGCAGTCAGTGCTCTTAACCGCTGGGCCATCTCTCCAGCCCCAAGGCTTTTTATTTTTATATATTTATTAGAGTATAATTGATATACAAAAAACTTCATGTATTTAAAACATATAATCTGCTTAGTCTGATGTTTTATCAACACATATGTGGATAGCTTTAGTTGTCAACTTGACACACCTGGGTAGAGGGAGCTTCAACTGGGTTATTTCGTCTATTGGACTGGACTGTGACCATGTTTGTGGAGTATTTTCTTAATTTTGGAACCCCAAGTACTTTATCCAGCAAAACTATCAAGGTCGAAGGGGAACAGAAAACATTCCATGACACAAATAGGCTGAAAGAATTCATGTCTTCCAAACCAGCACTACAGAGAATACCTGAGGCAATACAAGACTAAAGAAAGGAATGCATATGCCCAAGAGGCTACAGAAAGAAAATAAAGGTGCAACAATGGAAACATAAAACAGGGCCACAAACACAAAGAAATTAAAATGACAGTACACAATACACACCTTTCATAATAACACTAAATATTAACGGCCTCAGCTCCTCATCAAAAGGCATAGGCTGGTCCAATGGATCAAGAAAGAAAACCCTTCTTTTTGTTGTCTGCAAGACTCATTACAACTTCTAATCAAAGGTACAACTGACCAAGATTATTACAATCATGAACATTTATGCACCAAACTCTGGAGCACCCAATTTCATAAAATCAGTAGTTCAGGACTATAAAACAGAAATCAACACCAACTCAGTGATAGTAGATGACTTTAATACCTCCACTTTCTTCAATAGACAGGTCAACTAGACAAAGAATAAACAGAGACACCTGGATTAAATGACATACTACATGAAATGCACCTAACAGAATATTTTGCCCAACCACCAAAGAATATACTTTCTACTCAGCAGCTCATAAAAGTTATTTCAAAATTAACCACATTCTGGGGCACAAAACAAATCTCAACAAACACAAAAAAATGAAATAAATTCCATGCCTTCTATCAGACCGCAATGCAATAAAGCTTACCATCAACAGCAAAAGAAGCTCTAGTAAATACATGACCTCATGGAGATTAAACAACACACTCCTGAATCATGAATGGGTCAAAGAAGAAACTAAGAAAGATATTAAAAGTTTTCCTGGAACAAAATGAAAACGAGAACATAACAAAATCTCTGGGATACCATAAAAGCAGTCCTAAGAGGTAAGTTTATAGATGTTAGTGTCTACATTAAAAAATCAGAAAGAGCATATGTAAATGACTTGGCAGTACAATTCAAGACTCTGGAAATGCTAGAAAAAACCAACCCCAACCCTAATAGAAGAGAATAAATAACAAAACTCAGAGCAGAAATTAACGAAACAGAAACAAAGAAAACAATTAAAAAAAAAATCAATGAATCTAAGAGCTGGTTCTCTGAAAGGTTAAACAAGAAAGACAGACCCTTAGCCCAGTTAACCAAAATAAAGAATGCAAATCCAAATCAACAAAATCAGAGACGAAAAGGAAATATCACGACACCAAAAAAATCCAAAACATTGTAAGGGAATACTTTAAAAATCTATACTCCATTAAATTTGAAAACCTAAAAGAAATGGATAAATGTCTAAAATCATGGCCACCACTAAAGTTAAACCAAGAGGAGATCAAAAGCCTAAACAGATCAATAAGGAAACTGAAACAGTAATACAAGACCTCTTGACTAAAAAAAGCCCAGGCCTAGATGGATTCACTGTAGAATTCCACCAGACATTCAAAGAAAATCTACAACCAATACTGCTTAAATTATTCAAAAAGATAGAAACAAAGGGAGAACTTCCAAACTCACTCTAATATTCAAACCAGGTAAAGATCCAACAAAAAAAGAAAGGTATAGACCCATATCCTTAATGAACACAGATGCAAAAATACTCAATAAAATATTTGCAAACCACATACAGATACACATCAAAAAGATCACTACCACTATCAAGTCAGCTTTATTCCAGAGATGTAGGGATGGCTCAACATACATTAAGTCAATAAATGTAATAAAACATATAAATGGACTTAAAGAAAAAAAAATGGTCATCTCCATAGAGGCAGAAAAGGCCTTTGACAAAATCCAACATGCATTCATGTTGTAAGTCCTAGAAGAAATTGGTCTGGAGGGAATATACCTCACCATAATTAGAGCTATATACAACAAACCCATAGCCAACATCATCCTAAATGGAGAAAAACTGGAAGCATTCCCATTAAAATCAGGAACCCAGACAGGGCTGTCCACTGTCTCCACTCCTTTTCAATATAGTGCTTGAAACTCTTGCAAGAGCAGTGAGACAAGAGAAGGAAATTAAAGGAGTACCAATGGGAAAAGAGGTCAAATTATCCCTATTTGGCAGATGACATGATATTATACACAAGAGATCTCCAAAATTCCACTAGAAAATTATTAGAATTAATACTTTCAATGAAGTGGCAGGATACAATATCAACTAACAAAAATAAGTAAGCTTTCTATATACCAATAACAAGCAATCAGAAAAAGCACTCATGTAAACCCTCCCATTCTCAACGGTTTTAAAAAAAATAAAATACTTAGGAATAAACCTAACCAAAGACACTAAAGATCTCTACACTGATAATTTTAAAACTCTAAAGAAAAAGATAGAGGAAGACACTAGGAGATGGAAAGGCCTATCACGCTCATGGATTGGTAGAATCAATATTGTGAAAGTGACCATCTTACCAAAAGCAATTTATAGATTCAATGCAATTCCTATCAAAAATACCCATAACATTCTTCACAGAGCTTGACAAAATCATCCTAAAATTTATATAGAATCACAAAAGACCCTGGATAGCCAAAACAATTGTGGGCAAAAAGAACAATGCTGGGGGGATCACCACACTAGATCTCAGATTATATTACACAGCTATAGTCATAAAAACAGCATGGTACTGGCACAAAAATAAGACATGTAGATCAATGGAACACAATAGAAGACCGACCCAAACATGAGTCCATATAGTTTCAGTCACCTGATATTTGACATAGGTGCTAAGAACACAGAATGGAGGAAAGATAGCATCTTCAACAAATGGTGCTGGCAAAACTGAATTTCCACCTGCAGAAAAATGAAACTTGAGCCTTATCTTTCACCCTGCACAAAAGACAACCCTCTCTGTCCTCCTCAGGCACTGTACAATATGGGTGTACTTAAACACATGCAGGCAATACACTCATACACATAAAAATAATAAATAATTTTTTTAAATGAATGGTTCTTGCTATCCTGGTTGGTATGAATATTTCTGAAGCCACTTCTCAGTTGGACAGCATTTGAATTAAAAAAAAATTGATAAATGGCACCTAATTCCAAAATCTATGTTAAAAAATTATTATTGTGCCTGGGCGTGGTGGCGTAGGCCTTTAATCCCAGCACTCGGGAGGCAGAGGCAGGTGGATCTCTGTGAGTTCAAGGCCAGCTTGGTCTACACAGTGAGTTCCAGGACAGCTGGGGCTACAGGGAGACCCTGTCTCAAAAAGACCAAAA